ACGCTAGTCCTTGAACTTTCATTTCCTTTCACTTTGGTCCATTTTCACATATTTCTTCCAAATTACGCTATATCCATCAACTTGCCACCTAAACCAAAATATGAGAATATTAAGTACATTTAGGCATAAAATAGTCATATGAGCGCATTAAATAAAGATGCAAAATGTGTATTTTATATTCCTATCACCCCTATTTTCAACTATTACAGCAATATCAACCAGCTTTGTGAGACATATGGACACGAAGAAGAATCGGATTAAGAGATGTAAATATGACTAAGTTCAAAATGTTTACTTATAAGTAAACTACGTAAATGATTTTCAAAATAAAAAAAGTACTCATTTTGTATGTAACATAAACATTTTTATCTTAAAAAAAAATCTTTTTTAAACACATTTAGAAACAAAAATGTACGTACTAATCATGCTCGTCGTGTTAATTCACGGCATTTATTTTAAATTAAAAATCAAAGTTACATTCGAAACCGATATAGAAGTGAAAAATCTTAAAACAAAAGTTTTCTTTTTCTTTTGAATGGGGTTAATACAAATGGAGGAATAGAGTTTTTCCCCTATCGAGATAAAAATCTTTTTATTTTCTTTATATATTTATATCTAATAAGTGACTAGATTGTCATCAGCTTTTATGCTTATACAAAAATGAACATGTAATAATAATAAAATATCCAATACTATATCAAAATTTTTTTTTAGAACACATAATATTAATTTTTATTAATACTTAAAATTTTAGTTTTAGTGGAAATGTGTAATTGTGATGCAAACCATGTATTTAGTGGGGGTGAATACAAATATGGGAAGAGCAAGTAACTCGTAATCATAGGAATAATTAGTAAGGTTTTTAAGATTGATGGATAATTTCTCCCATCTTAGACTCTTTCTCTCCTAACCGTTGATCATATTTAAGCAATTTTTTCTTTACAACTTATTGTCCTTTGTATTTAAATAATTATATTATCTATTATATTAATTAAACGTGCAATTTATAATATTTGAATGAAAGTATTGACAATGTTATATAAGGGAAAAATGATAAAATGAATGTTTTTCATCGGTCTCCACATTTTATTTGTATATATATTGTCTTATAATATAATTATAATTATATAAGTAGATGAGCATTGATTTTAGGTGGAGCTCATAATATAAAGGTGGCATTAATGATAGATTAATAATAATTTAACTTCATGTAGTCTTCTCAAGTATAAAGTTCATTTTCCACATTGGAGTACTCAAAATTTTATATTTAATCAAATTAAGCTTAATCATTTAAAATCGAAGCTCGTATACATATATAATTATATTAAAATTATAATAAATATTATTTTATATTGTATTTAATCTAACATTATATTAATGCGACCTTTAATATATCATATTATATCCTTAACAAAATAAAAGAGCCAGTTGGGGAGGCACTATTCATGCCAGATGTCAAGAATTTGAATCGTCAACCAATACGACGCCGTTTTGTTAACCGCCTTTTCCTACTACTTCACACCTACCACTTGTGCTCTGCTTACCATTTTCAATCACCGTCTTCTCCTCCAGATTTCAATACTACCGCCAACAAATCGTAGGAAATTCGGCTGATGTGTAATTAGAGAACAATATTTACAAATAATTAAGAACAATAATTAAGAATAATATTTACCATTAACGATTCTGAACAATAATTAGAGAAATTCGGCAAGGAATTGAGTCGGTGAGCGACTAATTTTCTTGGCGACGTTGATCTGGGCGGTTTCCGGGTCATGATTTTGACCGGATGCAAGTGACAATTGAACTTCAAACTCCTCCTTCAAGCAATTAAATCCTACTATTGGAATTCAAATTAGAAACATAATTCTTATTTTCCTGTGAATCTGGAGCAGGTTGAGTTCAAATCGAGTTCTAGTCAGATGAAGGTTAAGATGGCAACGAAAATTGAGACAGTGTCGCATGTCTCCGTGCGCAACGAAGACACCGTATTTCCGTCTCGCAGGGAGACCTTTGGTTGGTGATTTCTTAATTTTCATTTAGCTGCAGAAAGTTCAAAAGCTTTTATTTTGATTAATAATCTGCGATTCATTTCTCTCCATTACAATTTTAGAAATGAATTGGATTTATGATTCTAATTCCTTTTTTTTTCCAGTATTTTCTACGACCAATAGAGTTGAAGGAGCATTGGCAGATTTCTTTTTGATCAATGTTCATCTTATAATTCACAGAACATAAACTATCTTTTATCATCTATATATGCACTTCGTTGTTATACATCTTAAGTTCTTGAGAAATTTATTGATGTGTTTAGATTGGATAATTTGTACAGGGTTATTATAGACGAGGTGCTGCATATTTGGGATTGGACAAGTTTAAAGAAGCTTGGATGGAGATAAGGAGAAATGCCTCCGTCCAAGTGGATGGAGGCATGAGGTGCCTCCATTACTTGGACGGAGGCATGAGATGCCTCCGTCCGCACTTGGATGGAGGCATTTCACATGAGACTTTTTATGAGCTTTGCAAAAACTTATTCTTTCACCTTTTTCCATCTGGTCACATGTGTTTATCTTTAGTTAGGGGTTGAAAACTGTTTCATCACTAATTTTTTTGCAGTATCCAACTTGCTTAATGATCTTAGTTTGCCTATTGGTTCTATAATTGGCAGGCAATCTTTGATCAAAGCTTGGGAATTAATGTACTTATGTGCATCTTGCATGCCTCTTAGCAAGGAAATTGGTGGCTATTTGTCAGAGTATGTACATACTGTTGCACACACTGTCAGTAGTGATTCTGAGATTCAAGTACTTGCAGTGAATACATTAAATGCTTTGAAGCGTTCTGTTAAGGCTGGACCTAGGCATATTATACCTGGACCCGAGGAGATTGAAGCTCTTTTGACTGGTAAAAAGCTTACAACTATAGTTTTCTTTCTGGATGAAACTTTTGAAGAGATTGCGTGCGACATGACTACAACTGTAGCTGATTCTGTTGAGGTACTGTAGATATTCTCTTGTTGTTTCTTTGTAGGCATGTTAGAGGAACTGTGCAAATTACTAGACAATCCAATTTAATTTGTTTCATAACACTGACAAATGAAATCGGTGCAACTTTGCAACAGATTCCTTTCTAGACTGTTTAGTTGTATCAATCTGCAATTGTATTGAAGTTACCCTTGAGAATGTTTGTGTTTGTATTTCTTGGGTTGATATAAACAATGTTTACATTATCTAATTCGCTTGTTACTAGCTTTCCATAAACATCAGTAAGAAGTATATGTTGTGCCTTATTTCTCATCTTTTTGTTGAATAAGATGTTTTCTTATTATTGAAAATAACATGTAATTTGTCTGAGAATGAGCTGAAATTTTCTTGAAATTTAGAAGTATACAAAGGTGTCTAGAATTGAGATCAATCTTGGTCTAGCTTTGTCTTTAAGCTTAATATAAAGAATGTAGATAATAGCGTGTATAATTGCTTCAATAAATTTTCGTTACTCATTATTCAAAAGCACCATCCAAAGGTTTTAGTCTCCAAGCAGTTCTAAGTTTTGAGCTGCTTTTATTCTCATCATTCTTTATGCTCTTATGAAGTGTTTTAGGGCCAACAATTGTTAGTTTATGTAACCAAAACAAATATAAATCAAGTGCAAATCATTTTTTTTAGTGTTTCAAATTTTAAAATTTTATAAATCACTGAATTTGAAGCATGTTCTTATATTCAAATGCTAGGCTTACCTCTATAGTTGGTGATGACAATTATGTCTCCATCTTCTCTTGCATTGCTGTAAAAGGAGATGAAAACTGTTTGCAAGAGGGGTGATGACCTCTCTCTCATTCCCTCCTCTTTCACACAGCTGCAGTAAAAAAAAAAAGTGGTAAAAAAGTCAATGTTCCAATTTTAAGTTAGGATGTATACATGTTACTTTTCTTTTGAGAATCGAAGACACATGTTGTATATTAAGAGATTTTATTAATAGAAAATCTTGGCCAACTTCTGCTGTAATGACTAGAGTTACTGAAAACTAAAAGAGCAACCCAAGTATTGTGAAGAAAATGTGAATGTTTGTTGGTAATTGCTTATTTAAGTTATCTCGGTATGGAATTACAATCTCTAGACGGTTGATCAAATTGTTTTATGCCTAAAATGATGGTTGTCCCAGCTACATTTGTAAGAATGAACATTCTCTGTTTTTTCCACAATATTGTGGAAAAGTTGACATAAATAGCACTTCAAGTTTACTTTTCATCAATGATTTATTTAGTTTGTATGCATTCTTGATTTGGCAAGAGCAGAATAGTTGTTTCTTTCTCAAGTGGAAAATCCAAATTGCTCTTCTTTTCGTACAGACGTCTAAAATAAAGTTTTGTTCATTCTTAGTAAAATCCTTTAAGGCTAAATAACTTCTTTGGTTGTTGGTGGATATGCTCCAGGAACTTGCAGGGATAATCAAATTATCATCATATTCTATCTTTAGTTTGTTCGAGTGTCGCAAGGCAGTTACTGGTTCTAGAATGCCAGAGCCTGGAAATGGTACTATTAAATTGTAACATCATAATGTTATGATAGTTTCAAATCTCTTCGTAGAGGCATGGATGAGCTTCCAACTTTCCAACATATTATCTAAATAATAGATTACTTTCTCTGTGTAGAGGAGAATACACGATTGTAATGTCAAACAATGAGAAACTGATAGTGATGAGGATGATGTGAGAATCAAATAGATTCTTTCAGAGATCTTATTATAAGCTTGTTTCTATATTATTTGATGTATTTTATTGGTTTGTGCTTATGTTAATACATCTTGAGGTTTATGGCTTGCTTCAGAAGGATTTTATTTTTTATTGTTAAAAACTGTGGTACCTTTTCACTTCAACGCCATTGGACATTTGTGTTACTACATATGTCGTCGTAGCAAATTTATAATTTTTCTTGTTTTTGAAGCCTGAGATTTGTTGGATATGTAGCTTTTATGTTCCTCTAACAAGCTTCTCCAATCCACCTGATAATGTTATAATGACCTGGAAACGAATTTAGCCCATGTTTGACCACCATTATTCAAAAACTATTTTTTTTCTACATGCTCATTTTCAAACGTACATTCACACAATAAAATATTATGGAACTAAACCCAAAACTTTTCCCTTCTTTTTAACCACATTTGTGTTACTTTTCACGCTGATGCCTCCGTGCACAACAAGCACGATGGCACGATGGCGAAAGCATAAGCGTGCCTTTGCTCGGGAATACATAAGCTATTCAATTTTTATTCATAAAACTTCCCTGTTTTTCTAATAATTATTCGATTATTTGTGTTGATATTTATGAAATTGTTGTAATTATGTATTGTATTTTTCGTAATTGGTAGAAAATTGGATTTAACCAGTCTTTTGTAATTCATCTGAACAAAAGAAAAGTTAAGGAAGGTTAGGGTTTAGAAACACTTCTCTATTTCATAGGCTTAATCTAAATAATTTGAAGAAGTATAGGAGGGAATATAGAAAAAACATAACTGAAAACGTACACCCAACTCAAACTAAAAGAAAGAAAATAGACAAACATTGAAAGTATTCAAACAGCAAAACACAGGCGAAGCAATCATTTTCTTCGGCTTAATTTGGAGTATATCAAGATTTAATATTTCCATCTACTGATTTTTTTTCTAGGGGCCATACGAGGATGGGAAGACTGATGCTACCTTTTCGTTTACTGACAATGATTTTGTTAAGGTTGACTCTGGGAAGATGAATCCTCAATTTGCATTCATGAGGTGCCTTTTTAGTTCGTTTTCTACTTCAATTTGTAAATTTGGCTGAATTGATTTGTTTTAATGAATGAAAATTAGTAGTTTCAATTTAAATGTGTTGAATGGATGCAGGGGTGCTATGAAGATAAAAGGGAGCATGTAGTTTCAACTCTCTTTTCCATTTGGCTTGTTTATTGATGAACAATTCCTTATGTTTCGCATTTTATGATGAGATTCTATAGCTTACGTTCTTAGTTTCCTAGAGCATAAATAGGTTGTACTTGAATATTGAGATGTTGACATTACCTTACTTATAGTGCAATAGTCAGACAAAGATTTCGTCCAAAGTTTTTGTAAAATAACTAAAAATCACTCCACACTATTAGATAGCAAACTAAACTACAACACGTGAGCGAGTTTTTCATCCTGTACACATGCCGCAATTACCTATCATCAACTATTACAGCGTCATTTTTCCCCGTTTTCATTTCATTCTCAAAATCCAGCAATGAAATTGAGCAAGCAATCAAGTTTTATTGGTTTGAAGTTTCATGATCTCCAAATGGGGGTTATGCTACCTACCAAGTTTTATTGGTTTCAACTTTTAGCAATCCAGTTTTATTTTTCGTTTTAACTTTCAAGTTTTAAGTTTTGCTAAATAAGATTTAATTAGTGATATCTTCAAAAATAATCAGAAATCAGTCAACACTATTACGTAGCCAATTATACTACGACGCCGTATTTCCCAATTATATATATTTTCTTCTTGTTTTTCTTTTCATTTCTTACTTGAAGCTACAACCTGCGATATTTTCTACTTTGTAGGCTTCAGAACTCTCTGTTTCATTAATTCTTAAGGTTTGTCTATTTTCTTTCTTTCAGTTTATGTTTTTTTCCTCATAGAGGTGCCTTCGTGCACGCTGCGCATGGAGGCACGTTGGTGCCTCCGTGTTGGTCCCGTTCCTCGATGCACGAGAACAGAGGTAAGTCGTGCCTCCGTCCGCGTGCACGGAGGCACGCTGTCGCATCTCTACTTTTAGGTCATTAAATCTTGTTCAAATGTATTTAACCCGTATTTGTGCAGAAAAGTATTGAAAAATTCTATTATTGAAAGGTTTATTGATGTTTTATTTATATGCTAATAAAGCTCCAGGGAAAATTCTAATATTAGTTTGTAATTATAAAGTGATACATAAAGTCACCAGTTGCCATAATCTATGTTGCTGCAGTTTCATTACAAATAATTTTGGTATGGTGTGCAAAGATGTCGGTAACTTTCTTTTGATCTTTTATTAAGGTCTTCCTAGCCGGGTTCTAGAGGAAAGTTTTCATATTTTAGCATGATGTAAACTATGAATTTCTCTATGTTATTGTTCAACATATGTAGAGGTGTCAAGACGGACGGGCCGGCCATGACCCGTGAAAATCGGCCCGTGAAAACCGGGACCGCGGGCCGACCCGTGACCCGTGCGGGCGGTTCACGGGCCAAGGAGGTGTAACCCGCGGGCTTCGCGGGTTGCACCCCCACGGGCCGCGGTTAACCCGCGGCCCGTAAAAAAAAATTAAAAAAAAAAA